TCTAATGTGCAAAGATGCTGAACAGTACTCTGGCCATTTGTACTTCTTCTTTTAGAAGGTATCTATTAATTTCAATTGCCCATTCTTGATTGGGTCTTTTATTAGGGAGAAGTCTATGTTTTTGAGTTCTTTATACGTTCTAGATATTAGTTTTCTGTGGACTAATTGGCAAAAGGAATTTTTCCCCCATTACATGTGTTATCTCTTCACTTTTTTGTTTATTTCCTTTGCTTGCAGTTTTTTGATTTGATAAGATCCCGTTTGTTGATTTTTGGTGTAAAATGTACACTCTTTAAAATTATGCCGTTTCTTCTCAGACTTGGAAAACCTCAGGGTGACGGCAAAGAGCTGGACTTTAGAGATACTGATGTCTTCAGTATCTAGATGCTAGATGGAGTAGAATACTCCTGAGGAGGAACAAAGCAGAAAGCCACACTTCAAACGAGAAGTCACTTCCCGTACTCATGCTGACTCTTTCCGCCTGTTGAGAAAAGTGGCTTGTATCATTCTTGCTATTCAACTTTCAAGTATCAATATATTAGGTTAATTTGTGAAGTATCAATAGCAGTCAAATATTTAGTGCAATTAATAATTAGCTCATACTCTGGTTTCTCTTCAGATCGTATAAATCTTCACCTTTTACTACTAATTAGCCCATTAGCTGCTTCCCTTGCTGCAAGGTCTCTCACAAAGCTATAATTCAAGTGGCAGCCAGGGCTGTGGTCTCATCTGAACTCTAAACAGGGGATGGGCTGGCTTCTATGCTCACTTACATTGGCAGGACTCAGTTCCTCCTGGTTGTTAGACTACAGACCTCAGCTTAGTGCTAAAAGGCCACCTTCAATTTTTCATCTTGTGTTTCTCACTCACATTTCAGTTACTCTCATTAATATCCACAAAAGGCTGAACATGCTTGTACAAAGCCTCAGTCTTTGTAACCTAATCGCGAAATAGCAGTGCCTCCATGCTACTGTAGGCCGCTCATTCGAAGGAAGCTATTCAGGGGAGGAAGTATACAACTGAATAATAGGTGGGAACCACTGGATGGGGGCTCTTTACAGGCGATCTGCTTCAGTACTTGACAACACATAGCTAGCCATAAAAGAAGAAGGAAAAAGAGAAGTAAGGTGCAAGGAAAGAGATAGAAAGGGGAAGGTAAAAGGGAGGGAAATACAGACCTTTTTAAAAAGACAAAAATAGCTTTGTTGCACTATGTCTGTATCAAAGACCTATGTGTGGGCATTCACTTCTTCACAGTGGACCCACAACCACGAATTTTGTATTTCTTATTGAAATGAGAAGAGAATGTGAGCTTTCTATACATCTGGAATTAAAAGGAACCAGAATAAATAAATTATAGGGGAAAACTGAACACTGAGTTTAAGTAAGTTAAGTGTGTTTCAGATTAGTCCTTTTCTTCTTTTTAATTATTTTTTTCCAGCTAGCAAACTATTTCTTTTTTTATGTTTCAAGCTTTGGACTGATTTATTATTCTTGCTGTTGCGTAACAGGCATATTACAAAGAGAATACAGAAATTTCTGCTCCATGTTTTGGGTTGATTTGACATTCTTACCATTATGTGACAGGCATATTATATGGGGACTATAGAAACCTGGGTGGTGTTCACATTTGCTGTTCTCTGCCTGTTTAGCCCAAATATTGAAATTACATTTTAGTTCTACTCATTATTGTTGATGAGTCTATGTGTCTCACTTAATTATAAATATGAAGTTGTTAATTGTCACATAGCTCATCTATTCCAGATTTTCTAGTGGACACTGAGGTCTAAATGGCTTTAAAAGGTTAGGGTTGAATAGTGTCAGAGCCAAGATTAGAACACAAACCTTTCAATTTCTAATCTAGTGCATCTTCTCTTCTTATATTTTGTGCAAATGAGTGGTCAGAACATGAAATGACCTCTTTAAACTCCAGGCATTAAAATAGCTATGGCTTAAATATGCCTTAGTAGTCATTAATTTTCTAAAAGGAAAATTACCTTCAGTTTTGGCTAATAGACAAAAAGGAACTTTTCCAGGTACAAACATGTATAATAGATGTTTGCCTTACAAAACATTCATCTTTTTCTCTATATTCATTTGTAGATCACTCAAGCTCCAATTTTTTTCTTGGAGGAAGAGGAATTAGTAATCACCATGTAGAAAAGGTTGGCTATTTTCCTTTAGAAAAGGGAAACTCCTACTCATGCCCCAGAGCTCTTGTAAACTTCTCAGTTCATACAAGAAAAGAAATATTTCCTACAAAGGAATAACCATGGGATTTTATTATTTAAAAATGTCCTTCTGCCCTAGAATTTTGTTCACTGCTCTATTTTCAGAATTAGGCCTGGCACAAAACTGATTTTTTTAATAAATATTGTTGACAAAATGGCCAAACAATAGATTTGTTTAGGTTTATAAAAGTCTAACCCTCACAAGTCTTTTTCCAAAGGAAAAAAGAGTCGTGTTTTGGCTCAGAGCACCAAATATATAACTGAAATTTAGGAGGGAGGGAGGAAAGGACTGAAACAAAGGAGGGTACAAGGAAGACATGGAAGAAAAGAGGGAGGGAATAAAGGAAAGAGAAAAGGGAAGGAGAGAGGACGGATGGAGGAAATTTGGCTATGTTTAAAATAACATGAATGTCAAAACACTGCGAATTGATATACAAAAATTAATTTTTTCAGATTTTTCCATTGCACATCTACAGCTGCAAATTTCATAGATGTAGACAGATTTTTGCTAATATTATAATATGTAACAGTGATTTTCCACTTCCCAGATTAGAATTGACACATATATATGCATAAGTGCTTTAGAGTTTGTATTTATCTAGTGTATTTACTAGCTGAATCTCTCAAAAGAACACAGACCAGGTACTCCAGCATATAATAGATGTTTGCCTTACAAAATACACACCTTTTTCTCTGTATTCATTTGTAGATCACACAAGCTCCCTTTTTTTTTCTTGCAAGAAGAGGAATTAGTAAACACCATGTAAAAGGGCTGGCCATTTTTCTTTGGAACAGGGAAAAGCCTACCCATGAATCAGAACTCTTATTCAAAAACCTATAGAAAGGCATTGAGGGAAGGAGGTGAGTCAGATAACGCCAGCAGACATGGGGCTAAAATGGTTTGTGACATTATCCTGTGTAGAGCTTCGGGATGCACAGGGACATAGGAATAAATTACACTGGCACACGGCTGCTGCACCAGTTACACTAGGCTTTGCAAGCTTGCATCTACTCTGGAACATTTGCTTGGTTGATGGCCACGCATCTTCAGTCAGAATTTTATAAACAGGATATGTGCACACACTCCTTAAGTGGATATAATTTAGACCCAAATATCTTTATGGTTAGATGAATCACCAGAAATAGGGGGAAAATAACACCACACAGGAATAGCTCAGCCTGAGCAACGTAGTGGTCCCAGCTGATATATCAGATAGGGTTTCTTTGCTCCCTTCTGTTCTTTGGGTACAGTTATAGCAGTTATAGTGTTTATAGGCCTGGAGGTGAAGAACTGCAGATAATTGGTGCTGGATAGAGAAGCCTTACTTTTTTCTATGGCAGCTTGCTATTTTTGTAACACGGTGATTGGGTTGAAAAAAATCAAAGTACAGTAATAACTGATCTCCCCTTCTTCCTGGATGTGCGAGCAAGGATTAAATATCGATGTTAGCGTCCTTGAACATACCGAAATGAGTGATGCTTGCCTACAACTTCTCTCTGAAAGGATGCAATTTTGGTTGTGGTCTGAAGCTTTGAAGCACTACTACTTGGCGTCTCTCTTCAGTGGAGCTCTTACCTTTCATATATGACAGATTTGATAAAATACTAGCTAAGTTGAGTATTGCTTGCCTTCACTCAGTCATCTTTGTATGAATCCTTTTTTTCTCCTGCTTCTTCTTCTTCTGTTGTTTTGTATTTACCCCAGGTTTTTTTAAAATGGTTTTTAGCTGATGTTCATGAAGAGAAATTAAACTGTGCCATTAATGAAAGGAAACCTATCTAAGAAAGTACATTTCTTTACAGAGCTGGGTCATATCATCCTTTGGGTCCTCTGCTGGAAAAAGTAGAATCAAGTCTGAAATAATGCCTTTTTAATTGTATCCTCTAGTATCATAGATGTAGGACAGTACTGTATTGTACCTCTGTGAATGTAAAATATCTTGTACCTGCTTTATGATATGTAGTAGTGACTGTGCTTTATCAGAGCTGTTTTTAATGATGTTACTCTAGAATGTTTTCTTTCCAGATGATGACTAAGATGCTAATTTAAAAAATGGTGCCAGGTACCACAACAGTAACAGAAAGGAAAAAAAAAACTATAAAAAGAAAAATATCCCTATGCTGGATGCTGTGTTTGCCATGCCTCATTCCCAGCATCTACCTAAAGTCAACTCAGCCCTCTGTAGAGGACAGGGGCCACCACGCACCTTGCCGGGTGCCTTTAGCTCAGGAGCAGGCACAGTTTAGAAGTACCTGAGAGAAAACATCTCCAATACCACCGTCGAGCTGTGGATGCTGCAGGTTGGTGGATAAGTCTCAACCTCCCATCCTTCTGTGGGACAGCAGTAAGTTATATCCTACACAGTATCTAACTGGTCATTGTGGTAACAAGCTCAGCAGCATGCGGATTACTCCGTTTTCCTTGCTCTGCCTATTCTCCCCATCCTTTCACTTCTAGTTCCGAGGGTCCCCTTGTAAATGAATTACCTGCACCCAGGTATCTGGTTTATTACATAGTCCCTAAGGAATAATGCTTGAAATAAAGACAGAATGGTTTGTTTTAGAATCAGAGTCTGATATTGGCAAGCAGTAGGCTTTATAACCAAGGCTTAGGAAAACAGCTTTTGTGACGACATTGGCATAATCTGTTAGATATGAAATAGGCTGGTTTTATTAGAGTGGTTTCTTCTGTACATACTTTGAATATGTGCTTCATTGGGACCATATGTGACTCCTTAATCTCATGCCTGCTTTTTTAAAACTTTATAGATTCTTCTGAGAACCCTAAAATCACCAAGTGCCGTTCACCTGAATTAGAGACCTTTTCATGCTATTGGACAGATGGGGGTCAACGTGGTTCTAAGATGCCAGGATTCATACAGCTGTTCTATGTTAAAAGGTGTGTCCATCATATCTTTCTGATTTCTCTCTCCATGAATTTTCTCATTAAAGTTTACTGAGCCACAGGTAGTGTAGTAATGGAGGCAATTTATTTTGAAGACCTAAATACATTCATTAATTTAGTTTATAAATTAAACCCTTACTATGTGGTGGGCACTAGAGACATAACAATGATTACAAAAAGATAAAAAGTCTTGGCCTCATGGAGATTCCCTTCCAGTGTGGAAGAGATAGACAATAAAAACTAAGTAAAGTATCAGCTGGTAGCACCAGGTTATTAAAAAATAAAGAGAAAAAAATATAAAGAATTTCAGCAGCATGTTTGAGCATGTGCATGAGTGTGTGTGTGTGTGTGTGTGTGTGTGCGCGTGTGTGTGTGTCAAAGTGGGAGTGAGTATGTGGATGTACATGAGTGGGTGCATGTAAGTGGTGCTGTGTTTTGGGGGCTTGAGTGATATTTGAAATGGGGTAGTCATAAAGGGCCTCTCTAATGTTGTACATTAGCACAGACAAAGAAATGTAGGGAGAGAGACCATGTGAATATCTGAGGGAAATACTGTGTAGGCAGAGAAAACTGCAAGTACAAACTGAGGGAATCTCAGCATGAGGAAAGTGAAGGGCCAGCAGGAGTGGCACAAGACTGAAAATGGAAGAGAGTGATATGGGAAGGAGTTAGACAGTTACTTGGGGACAGACCTGCCAAGCCTCCTATTTCCTTTTGTTATTCTTCTTACCTGCTTAATTTGCAGACAACAAATATTTTGAGTTAGCACAGTGGCCTTACTCACCTGCTAAGTGTGAGAGAGGGTTCTTGGGTACATCAGAAAGGGTACACAAAGATGAGCTGGTCGAGTACCAAATATGCTGTCTATTTGCCTTAAGGTTGATTTTGCAGAGAAGCACAGGCCAGTAAATACAGCTGGTTTCTATAAATATATTCAGTCATGAAGCTAAGGTGTTTTGTAACACTTTTCAGCATGTATGAATTGATTGTGCTATTTATAAATGAAAAAAACTTAGTAGGTTCAGTTTTTGTGCTTTTCTTCAACAACACAGAGCTAGCTCCATCCAAATGAATAAAGTAATTTATTCATTCAGAGTCACGCAGCAAGGGCAATAGAGATCATCTTCTGACTCTAATCATTGTTTCTTAGAGTTCAGTTCCCAAACACTGCTGAAACTATAGAATCATGTTTCTTATCCTTGGCACACACCTAACACCATGACATGATTTTACCCAACACTGGAGTCGCTGAAGGCAGAGAGGAACAGGGAAGGTGGTGTGATGGGCCCTCAGTTATGTGGCCCGGCCTTGTTATCCAAAGCATAAGGGAATATGAACACATCAAGCTGTCAACAGGAGAGCAAAGGCACAGGCACATAGGCACTTTTGTGTAACAGGTGAGCTGGCTTAGGAGGCAGCACTGGCATATTAGGACAGCTGATTCTGAACAGCCTCTGCCACCCCGTGATGGAGGTGGTGCCAAATTCAGCCTCTGAGCTTGAAGTTGACTCAGCATGAATGCAAATGACAGGCATAGTAAAAGTAGGATCTGGAAGCATGGCAGAGCTCCTCTGTCCTCAGCTTCTCCACTGGATATGGCACCATTTTCAAAGGATAATTAAGGGTGCATCCCCCTGCGTTTGCCATCCTCCACAATAGCCTCCTGCAAAACTTACTCTGTTCTTTTTTTTTTCCTTTTTATTGAGTTTATTGGTACAATCTAGGTATACAATACAGTTACATTCATCATTGGGATCCTGTACCTTTACATAATAGGTCTTGATTCTCATTTTTCCCCTTGTCCCTGCCCTCCCTTCACCCCCTCCTCCCCTCCCCATTTACAAACACTTTATTTACATTTTTTCAGTTTCTCATATTTTTTCCTCACCCTTATTACCTTTCCCCCACCCTTCCCACTTTCCCTACACCTTTAGCCATTTACTTCGTATTTAACATTATTAATTATCTCATTAGGATCCTGTGTACTATTATAGTTTTTCACACCAAAGAAACTATTCGGTATTTCAGTTAAAGAAATATCTGTATGAACATTAAAACTAGGGAATCCTAAAATAAAACTAAAAAGGAAAGTAAAAGAGAAAAGGCAATGATGTAAGATTAAAGTAACCCTTAATTCTGAAGATGAAAATGGTCCCTTAACATATTTAAATTGCTTCTTGCTCTTGTAGTCTTATCTTATTCTTTTTTTTCATTATTTAGAGAATACTTTATTAGTTTCTGTAATCAAACCCACGTAGATATGACCTTACATATTTAATACAGTGCGTTATCCCTGTACAAATGGAAAAAAATAAAATAAAAATTAAAAAATGAACATTTCTAGACCAATATGGCTGTCCATTTCTGTGCAATGCCAACTCATCACAGTAAATTGGGATATCTTTTTCCAAAGTTGAGAGCACCGTTAAAGTTACCCTGGCCTTTTTTAAAAAGAAGTTTTGTTTTTCATGCAAAGTTGCAGGGGAAATTAGAAGGAGTACTATTACTTTTTTTCCTGAAGGTTAAATATTAAGTCCCCCCAAAATGCATGAGCTATATGTAATGAAAACAGTTACCCTTAAAACATAAATATTTTCATGATTTCTTCTCCAATTGGTTACTGTTAGATGTAAAAACATTTCTTCTGCTCTTTTCTCTGATTTTTGATGACATTCTCCTATGTTATGAATTTTTATAAGATAGTCTAGGAGCAAACATAAAATGTTTATCTTTTAGGACCAAGATGAAAGGGTAACTTCTATAAATTGGCTTCGTTCATCTTTATCAAAATTTATTCCAGTGAAGCAGGTGATGAATCTCTGTTTCATGGTCCATTTTTGCAGGGGTCTAGATTTAATAATTTCAGAAATGAATTTTAAATATTTATTCAACTGTGCTTAATGAAGAAGGGTATTAGCAGCTGTGTTTTGAGCTAGCTATTCCTGATCCATCCTGCTTGAGATTAAGTGAAGCAAGTGGTTTGTTCTGTGCAGCTAATGGATTTGAGTTAATCTAAACAGGCCTTTTCCCATAATTCTGATGGGACCCTCACGGGAACATTGCCAAAATTGAGAAACTACATTAAACACAACAGAACTAGCCTCCCTAATCCAAATCCAGACTTGCTAAGCACTATCCTACATCTTTAGGATATTTTAATATTTTAAATTTTCTAACTTTCATAATATCAATTATTCTAAGTATGTTCAATGTCTCCCCTACAATTATATCAAACTCTTGCGCAAATTTTATTAAACCACTCTCTAATACGTTCTTTTTTTCCATTAAGTTTATTGGCACATTTTAGGTATACAATATGGTTACATTCATCATTGGGATCTTACACCTTTACATGATGTATCTTGGTTCTTATTTTTTCGCTATTCCCCTACCCTTCCTTCACTCCCTGCACCCTTCACTATTTACAAAGACTTCGTTCCCACTTTTTTCCTTTTCTTGTATCTTTTCCCTTCTTTTCTTTTCCCTAAACCTCCCACTTCCCCTACTCCTCTAGACCTTTTCTTCCTATTTCACATTATGAATTATACATTTTGATCCTTATTTACAGTTTCAGTTTTTCACACCAGAGAAATGGTTCTTACTGAATTTCAAGATCAAATTTTAAAATACTATAATTCCATGTCTCACCTAACTCATTGATATTTTTTCCTAATTACCCTAAATATATTTACACATGCACACATATATACACAAACATGTTATCCTTTCAACTTTAACTCATTTTTTCCAGAAGGAATGAATCTCCCTCTCATCCAAAGATTTGAAATAGTTAAGATTCTCAGTTAGAATTTAAGCAGCAGTTCCCTGTTTCAGACCGTAGAGTATCTTCATTTTATTCCCAAGTTTATTCCAACAGCTCATGTGCAGCTGTCTAAAGGACCACCCGATCCTATCTATACAAGTCTCCTCCTAGTGCCAGAGAGACCAGCTTGATAACCAGCTAAACAGTAAAGAGGGAAGGACGTATCGTCTTCCTACTTCTCATTCCTTCCTTGCATCTGCAGTGTTCTCCTTGCCCACTGTTGCCCAGCACCAGTCCCAAATCTCCACAGGCACTGGGATCACACCTTCCTCCTTCTTCTGTAACTAAAGATTCCATTACTCCATGCTCCCTTTACTTCCCGGTTCTCTTCTCAACAGATGCAGGATAGTGTATGATAAAGGAATAGTGGATTATCCCACCTCAGTTGCTGTTCTAATTTAACAAAACATTCTTTTCTAACATTCTGTTTCCCATTTGCCTCACCTGTGCCCATACTCCTTACCACTGTTTCCTCCTTTTCTTCTTTATTGCTGTCTATTAAACTTTAACTCATCTTTCAGCACTGCAAAAAAAATTGCCTTCCATGAACAGAATAATTATTTCCGTATCTGAACTCTTGAAGACCCCAGTGAACACTACCTCTAAATGCTTGCCCACACTGCTTTGTAATACAGTTTTTAAGTATTTTCTCTTGAGACAGAAGTTATTTCTTAGGCACTTTATGTCTCTCATAGTGTCTAGCAAGGTGTTTTATGCATAGTTCATTCTCATTATCAATGGAATGAATATAAGAGACCAGAAAAAGTACTCAGATGATTATGCCTGAGTCTTATTCTAGCCTGCATTTAGGAACCAGATCTTATTTATCATTGTATCTGCACAGCACTAGGGCTCGGTATAATGTATGATTCACCATGCAGCACACCATCAGAGTGCTTCCTCTGCTTCTTTCACCATAAGGTGGAGAAAAGCCCAGGTCCAAAGATTCAGTGTTCTCTGGGAATCTCTGTGGTTTAGGAGTTGGCTCTCTGCACTGTTACTAAAGCACATTTTTAAGCCTCCTCAAGCCCCGGAGCCTTCCTCTGTAGAGGGCAGATAGTAAAGCACCTACCATAGGAATTGATTATTTAGCAGCTGGCACAACATATACACTTAATAAATGGATGCTCTCACTATGGGCAGAAGTATCAATTCACCTCCTAACAGTCTTCAGGCAATAATAATATTTTCTATACATGTGATATTTCTTGGACATAGTGCTGCTAAAACGCAAAGTATTTTTGTCATAACATACTTACGTTCTTATTCATTGAACCTGTCAAGCACTTATTTTGACTTAAATTATAACATGATTTGGGGGGTGATTAATTCTCTTTTGCTTTCTATTTCAGGAGTATTCAAGAACAGAACCTAGACTGGAAAGAATGCCCTGATTATGTCTCTGCTGGAGAAAATAGCTGTTACTTTAACTCGTCATATACCTCCATTTGGAAGCCCTACTGTATCAAGCTAACTAGTAATGGTGGTACAGTGGATAAAAAATGTTTCTCTATTGATGAAATAGGTAAATCACAGGTTTGTTTCATTTGACACAGTCGTAGACTATGTAAGTAAGGAAACTCAATTTCCAAGTATAATCAAGTAGAAAGATTGTGGAATAGTTTTATTAGATACATGGAGTCTATTTTACCAAAGATGGTAGCAGTTCATGAATGAAAAGAGAGAGCAGGAAGAAAAGTTGACTCTAACATTAAAAAATCTGGCAGTACATGTCATGATGAAAAAGAGTGCTGTGAAGAAAAGAATGGGAATCTTTTCCTTTAGGAAGTCTTCAAAGACTTGAACTGTGTGCCATTGTAAGGGGCAAATTCAATGTACTCTTAAGATTGCCTTTCTCCTAATTATTCTACAAAATTATTATATTTCAGATCTACTGAAATGTTGACCTTTGACCTCAGTCTTTACTATAATTAAAGCCCAGCTTTTCTTTATCACAAAGTATAATAATTGTCAAATTGTACATTTACAAAACAGCCATGGTTGAAAGACATGTTTATGAGATCTCAAAACAAACATTGGTGATAATCAGCTCAATGAACCAAGTCAAAGATCCACACAGATGTCCTTTTTCCCATCATGTGGACACAAGAGAAAAGCAAAATAAACAACTACAATTGGAATATTCACATTTGTACTGTAATGGTACAAAAAGAAAAATGGAAAGAATCAAAGAAAGACTTTGAATAGCTGAACTTGGTGTCTCAAAATCTACCAACAAAAGCCCATTTATTGCTTCTAGGAATTCCTTGTCCCTTCTCCCAAATATATTGCTCTTATATGTGGTTTCTCAAGCATCAAAAGATGGAGATACTGGGAAAATCTGACTAGATGCTGCAGACAGAAACAAGCAAAATCTGATAACCTGACTTTGAGAGAGAACATTGAGAAAACCATAATAAGAAAAGATAATTTCAGGGCCTCGTCTACAGAGACCATTTAGTATATGTCCTATCAGTAGGTATAGCTCTTCAGCTGGTGCCAAATGGAATAGTAAAATAGGGTAGGTATAAGAATACTGAGTTAAATCCTGTATTCTAATCCTGTCCCTGCCAATAACCAGCTCTCCTCATTTACCTGGCTGACTTTCACTGAGCATCTGCATGTGTGAAATGAGTAAGATATAGTCAAGTAAGGAAGCCAGGCACATTCACAAACAATTGTAGTACAGTGTGCTACAGTACATTTTGGGAAATGCTGGACTTCAGTCAAGTGGAATACCTGGTGACCAAGGTGGTGACCAAAGACATGAATGATGGACCTAAGAGATAAAGCAGTCTGCACAGAGATGGTGACAGTTCACTTGCCTCTTAAAGCATGAGCAAGAGCTGCCAGTTATCATAGTGGACTGGGGCTTCTAGCAACTACCAAATTCTAAAAGTGGAAAACCACAAGGAAAATTCAAAGACTCAAGAAGAGTTGGACAGGCCCATTGGTCAACTGGAGAAAGCATCAGTTTTCTTACATGCTTCACAGAGAAATCTGGGCCTTATGCAAAATGATGCATTTGCAGGTGCATAAGTGGGGAAATGACCTGAGGATATTAATAATAGTCACAAAAGACTCACTGTGTGTAATAATCATGTGTGATAAATTCTATTTAATCCCCACATTACCCACAATGCAACTGAGGCTCAGAGCAGTTAAATGAGTCACTCAGGATCAATGAGCTGGTAGGTAGAGCTGGGATTTAAACCTATAAATTCCATGCTCTTAATCTCAAACTTATCCAATGCCATTTTCATGTTATTAACTTCTTAAAGAAATTAATCTTACTCTCTGCAGATGGAAGGTGGAATAAGACAGACTAAAGATAGAGAGCTTAGAGGACTATGGCAATCACGGCAAAACATGATGACAGACAGTTATAACAATAGCATAAAAGGAAAAGAAAGGGGCAGACAGTGAGCACAAATAACAGATATGTCTTGAGAAAGACATCAATCACTACAAGCCACAGTTGTCTCTATATTATGTAAACATTCCACTATGTCACAGGCTGTTTCTTGGATTTTAGTAATATATCACTTATTCATTCAGTTCATTCAGCAAGTACGTGTCATGTTCTTTCCTGCAGCCAGGCAGTGTTCCATGTGTTGGAAAGGAAAATATTTGTCTTCCTAGGATTTAATGTCAGTGAGGCTGTAAAGAGACAATGCCAGGGAGGACCAGTATGGAAAGAGAATCAGTTGTTGGAGAGGTTGCAGTTTTAAGTAGGATTATCACTGAGACCATGACATTGGAATAAAGAAGGAAATATCATCATACTTCTGAGAGAAGGACAAGGAACAGACCAGATTGGAGAGATTGTAGAACTTTTCAAGCCACTGTAATGACTTTGGCTTTTCCATGGAATGAGATAGGTAGCGTTGGAGCCCCACCTTCCACTGGGAATTGAATACAAGACCTCAAACATGCTAGGCAAACACTCTACTGCTGAGTAACACTCCATGTTTTTTGGATGGTTTTAAATGATGACCCATAGACTCTAATTTAAGTGTTGAGAAAATCATTGTGTCTGCTATATTGAAGACTGTATGACAAACATACTGGAGGGAGACATGAGGATAATGAGGAGGCTAAATGCAGCAGGAGGGGTGAAAAAATGATAACAACTAGAACCAAGTTATAGGGGTGCATGCAGAAAGAAGTCGTTGAAACCTAGATGCATCTTGAAACTACAATTACAGAATATGTGGCACTGAGAAAAAGATGAGCCAGGAAGAGTTCATTGTTTTAATGCTGAGTAACTGGAGTGATAGAGTCACCATTAACATAAATGGAAAAGATGAAAAAGGAGCAGGTAAGTGTTGCACAGGAAGACCAGAAGTTTGGTTCTGGGTAGATTAACTTTCAGATACTTCTAAATATTTCAAATGTGATGTAGCAGTAAGGGAAAGGTCATACTATTCTTATAAGAGTGGTATTGCTCCTTCTTGGAAAGGACCCTGTCCCGTTATACTTTATTCGAAGTGGACAGAGGAAATTTTAAGACACTGCATGAATAATATGTTTTAGAAATTTTCCATCAAAAACAGTTTTATAGATTGGTATCTTGAGGCTTTAGTTATCGAGATTCCTAAATTCCCAAAGAGTACAAAGGGGTAAGGTATTACTGCCATTATGTGAGGATACATAATTTGAACAGCCTTCAAATTTAATTTCCAAAATGTGCATATCTATGACTTACAAATAGTGGTATGTACTTCACTGTGGCCAGCAGCATGCTCTTCCACCATAGGTCTGTTTCTGGTCTGGATCAATAGAAGAAGTTTCCCCTTTGGTCTCCAGATCTGGCAATCAGTAATGGCTGTTCACAGTATCTATCTATAGGTTTTTCTCAGATCAATCTGAGGAACCAAATTCTGCAGCACTGTAAACCACCACCTATATATTGTAGAAAAGAAAGTAAATTTTACTCTGTAGCTGTAGGTGATTTTCAAAAGCCTTAACAATGAGACCTAATTAACAACAATTTACTTGAAGTAATAGGAAACTGTAAGTCTACAAGTAATTCATAACTTGGGTGACTGAATGGCTTTTTTTTTTCTTTTTTGGGGGGTTACCGGGCATTGAACTCATGTCCTTGTGCTTGCGAGGCAGGCAGTGGAACCACTGAGCTAAATCCCCGGCCCCCTCGTAACTTGGGAATCTACATTTTTCTTCAGCAATCTTTGTAAACTGGTATCATGTTCTTAACAATAGCACCACTGATCTATCTAAAAATGTACAATATATGAGCAGAAACTGAGGAAAACACTGTTTCATGTTGTCTACATGATAGGTGAGCAAAAGACAGAGAACATTAAGTCACCACTATTTCAAGAGAGCAGTGCAATGCCATCCTTCTTATCTCTGCAGAAAAGATCACATGATGAGAGGATGACAAAGCTAAGGAGCACTTGCAGGATGTTTCAAAACATTATACTGGTGACAATAACAAAAGTAGTAAGAAAAAGTCCTTGTCCCAGGTCATACACAGTTTGGAAGAGAAAGGATTCCTGTGCATCTAGTTCCAGAACAGCCTGTGTTTAAATACTGAGATATATCTATATCTGCTCCTTCTATTTTGAGTTAAATTTCTTTGCCAAATCCCAAAATGTTAATGCTAAGAGAACAAAAGAAACATAAAACACAACAAATCTTCAAAAAGAAGTTGTAGATCAGATTTTAGACTCAAGAAAGAGTTTTTGGAGAGACTTTTTGAGAAGTTAAGAACATATCTGTAATTAAAAAAAATAAACTTTTTATGAGAATTATAATAATGGAACTGTTAGAAGAATTAAAAGCATCAATGATCAAAATGTATAAATTAATTTGGTCTGTTCAGAGGAAAGCACTCCATTAGTATTCAGTGTGTCTCTCTGGGTACTAATTATCTGTTGAATTGCACAGTGCAACCTGACCCACCCATTGGCCTCAACTGGACTTTACTGAACACCAGTGTAACAGCGATTTATGGGGATATCCAAGTGAGATGGGATCCACCAGCCAGTACAGATGTTGGTAAAGGATGGATAGCGCTGGAATATGAACTTCAATTCAAACAAACAAATGAAACTCAATGGAAAATGGTAAGATGTCACTACATTACACTTTGACTTGCTTCTATTTCAATGGTCCATCTCATTTATAGTTTGACTTCTTTTTGACCTAATAACTTATGTCCCATTTTATATGCCACATAATTTTTTCATTAAGTTTATTGGTGCATTTTAGGTATACATTATGATCACATTCATCACTGGGAATTTGTACCTATACATGATGTATCTTGGTTCTTATTTTTTCCCCATTCCCCTTCCCTCCCTTCCACCCCTCCACCCCTTCCTATTTACGAAATCTTTGTTTCCATTTTTTCCTTCTTTTCTCATATTTTGTTCTCACCCTTATTTCCTCTCCCCTCCCCACTTCCCTACCTCCCTACTTCCCCTTTCCCTATGAACCTATTTTTTCCTATTTCACATTATATATTATACATTTCGGTCCTCATTTAGACTTTCAGTTGCTCACACCAGCCACATAATTTCTTAATGGAGGAAGGCTGATCTTATCATGAAATATCATTCTATTATCATCCTAAATATTGTGATCCCATGAGAGGGAATGAAAACAATTTCCCTAATCATCATTGGTATTCAGTTTAACTACAGAGCAAAATTGTGAACTCAAACCACTTAGCACTCATTGGAGAGGACGTGAGAAGGATTATAATCAAGGTCATGGTGGACTGTGGCTATATATCCTCCCATGATGTTAATTGCTGCTGTTCACAAGACAATTAAAATTTTATCTTACGTGTCTCCAGCAGAGAGAGGGAGGAAATTTGCCTCTTAGAGGTTTCAGAAAGATGTTTTGTTAAGATACCACAGAAGAGAGTGGAGATAAAATGGTCCTACATAGGCAAGTAGAGAGTGAGTTGGTCTCTGAAACCCTCACTTCCGTGTCAACTACATGGGAACTCGGCACTTGGATGAATTCCACATGGGACACAACAAGAAGGAAAACAGGATAATCATGCTGTTCCCAATATAACAAATTCTAAATCAGTCTAACCACAGTCACAGCCCTGGCCAAGCCAAGCAGTTCCTGGCCAGGCATCAGGTTGTACTCAACAGCATGGCACAGCTCTCTCCCAGAATTCGAGACACCAGGCCCTGTCCGTTCAGTGAACTAATGAAAAAGAAGCCAATGTTGTCATAAGGGGAAGTTAAATTTGAGAAGATTTGAATAGTTACAAAGCTGGGTTTGAGATTATATTTTTTGACTCGTTTTAATTTAGATACCTGGTCTATAAAGGTGCAAAAAAAGTCTGGCTAGATACCAAGTCAAGCAGGACTTTCTAAATCCAAGTTATAATCAGACACTTATTCAGTATTCAGGTATAGAAATAACTACTTTGTACGAGGCACTGTGCTAGACATCTAGGGTCTCTGAGGGTCCCCAAGACCCTTTCAGTGAGTCCACAAAATCAATATTGTTTTCCTAATATATTAAAATGTTATTTCCTTTTTGTTCACTGTGTGGACATTTACCCTGATGGCACAAAAGCAATGATAGAAAAACTGTTGGTGCGTTAGCCTAAATCAAGACAGTAGTGCTAGAGCAAATAAAATGTTTAGGAAGAAATTAAAGCAAAGCAGTGAAATATCTCTACCATGAGAATTGTAAGACACTGATGAAGAGAATTCAGCAGAATATAAAAGATGGAAATACAAAAGTTCATTAACTACAAGAATCAACATTGTCATAATATCCACAGTATCCAAAGCAATCTGTGTAATCAGTGCAATCACTATAAATGAGTATTGTTGTGGTTAGACAGGAATAAAAAGTTCTGGTGTGTGTTACTGCACAGCAGGACAACTATAGATAACAATGATGTACTATATATTTCAAAATCAACAAGCAGTAATTTTGACTCTTTTCACCTAAGGAAATGATAAATGTTTGAGCAGACATGTATAATCTGATTTAAACATTGCACAGGGTACACATTATCAAAATATCATATACAAGCTTAAATACTGCTTAATTCTCTTATATGAGAAATCCAAAGTACAAAGAAAGAGCAAAGTAAAAACTAAGCAATAGGACATAGAGAGATACTTTTCAAATGGAAAAAGGAACAAAAGATAGAGGAGGTGGTAGGGACTGGAAGGAAAGAGGAGGGAAAAAATAGAGATAGAGCTTTTGCAAATGAGAAAGAGACCAAGAGATGGAAGGGACATGGAGGAAGGAGTGGGGTAGGGGACGTCCAAAGAATTAAGGTGTGCCATGATCATATGCCAACTCCCCATAAATGTAATAATTATGTACTGCAAACGTGTACTAATAAAAATAAAAATTTAAATATATACATATATATCACATAGTAACCAAAAAAATATAAATTTTTTCTACTTTATGTATCAATTAAAAAGTATATTTAATTTTTTTAAATCTTATCTAGAAACAGGGATGATTTATTTTCTTCCTTTATAATTTGGATGATTTATTTATTTCTTCTGCTTGATTTCTCAGACGAGAACTTTTTTGCACTATGGTGATTAGACATAGGAATAGTAGGTGTCCTTGTCTTATTCCTGATTTTAGAGCAAAAAAAATCTTTTTTTTTTTTGACCCTTGCATATGGTGCTGTTGTTTTTTTCATACGTGGCCTTTATTGTGTTGAGATACATTCCTTGTAATCTGTTTGTTAAGAATTTTTTATCATGAAAACATACTAAATTTTGTCAAATGTTTCTTCTACATCTATAGAGGTGATGTCAGAGACTTTTGTAGTAAGTGTTTAGTTTTTATCTGCCTGGTGTGTGAGGCAGAGTTGAAGAAAAACTTAAGATGGAGTTAAAAAGTGTGAACTGAGATGGCTAATGTTCCTTTGGCAAAAGGCACTGGCCCATCTCTTTTATCAGATTTTATTATTTATCAATCAGAGTAAAGGTGTAATATATATATAGGTGTGTGGTGTGTGAAATTAGAAACTAATGTAGGCAGAGCTTTAAAGAAAAGTCAAAGCATTTTGAAATGAGGAACAGAATAGACAAAATACATGGTTGTAATTGTAGCACTGTCTTTTCAGCTATGAAGGCACTAATTGTGGGAATGGAATTTGGGTGTGATTATTCTGACTTCAGCTAAGGATGTTGTCTTGTATTAGCCCCACAGTTTCACAGTCTATTACACTGGTCATGGCCATGGCCGTTAGCAGGGAGGTCATGTTAGCCTGAACGCTACCGCACTGCTCATGAGATCCTTCTGTCAGTCACTTAGCTTCAGTCAGACTCACTTCTTAAAGTCAGCCAGTCAAGGGATTTAACTCTGCAGCCTGAACTACTTACAGCATGTTTTAGACATGATCGATATTGTGGGTTCTAATAGTAATCATAGGGTTTTGTTCTTCACACTGTTATTGTGGTGTATCTCATATATACAATACATTTTGTATGTGGAACCATTATTTCATCCCTCGGATAAATCCTTTGATTGTGATGGATGATCCTCTAATGTGCTGTTGAATTTGGTTTGTTAGTACCTTGTTGAAGACTTTTGCATCTATACTCATCAGGGATACTGGGCTGTTTTTGTTGTTGTTGTTGTTGTTGTTGTTGTTTTCATGTCATGACCTTTGTGATCTGGTATCAAGGTAATACTGGCCTCATAAAATGAGTTTAGAATATCTCTTGTATATCTGTTTTTTGGACAAATTTGAAAAGAATTGGCTTTGACTCATTAAATGTTTTGTAACATTTAGCCATGATGTAGTCAGGGACTGGACTTTGATGGGAGGTTTTGTATTACTGATTCAACTTCCTTACTTACTATAGAACTGTTCAGACTTTCCATTTCTTCATGATTCAGTCTTGGTAGGTTCTATGTATCTAGGAATTTATCCATTTCATTCAAATTATCCAATTTGTGGCATGTAATTTTTCTTAGCAGTTTCTTAAGCTTCTTTATTTCTATGGCATCAACTTTAACGTCTCTTCTTTCACTTTATTTTCAACTAGCTGAAGGTTTATAGTTTTATCTGTTCAAAAGACCAACTCTTGTTTGTGTTGATATTTTTCATTTATTTCTGCTCTGATGTTTATCATACCCTTCCTTCTGCTAACTTTTGGATTCATTTTCGAGTTCCTAGATGATGTACCATTATATATTTATTTGACATATTTGAAAGATATTGAGTTCCCTCAGGGAATTGCAGTATAATACAAACAGATGTGCATAATTATATTTGAACAGTGAAATATAATAAGTAATAAGTGTGTCTCACATGTGTAAATACTGAATAGTTTCTCTGTCATGAGAAATTGAAAGTGCAAAAGAGGACCAAAATATATAATAGATAATGTGAAATAAGCAGAAAAGATCCAAAGGGGAAGGGGAAGGGAAGTAGGGTAAAAGAAATAAGGGTGAGAAAAAAAATATGGAAACAAAGTTTTTTGTAAATAGGGAAGGGTGGAGGAGTGGAAGGGAGGAAAGGGGGATGGGGAGAAAAGAAGAATGAAGATACAGCATGTGCAGGTACAAATTCCCAATGATGAGTGAGATCATAACGTGTACCTAAAGTGTACCGACAAACTTAATAAAAAAAAAGAGATAAGTGTGCCATTGTCTGGCAGAGTAGAATGGAGAAAAATGCCAAGAAAGACGTAAAACATCAGCAACATGCAATGTTCTCAGGATTAGACGAGGAGTAGATAACCCAGAGAGTGTAATGACAGGGTCAAATACAGTAGAAGTCACTTGAGAAAATCCGAGTTTGGTGTTGCTGGTGTGAACTATTGAAGAAAGATGGAGAGGGAGTCATAGGTCAAATCGCTGAGGGCTCTTTTTTATTCTGTTATTAATGAAATCTACAAAAAGTACTGGTGGTAATAACAGAGAAATTGGAATCTCAAGAATGAAAACAGACTTTTTGAACTATTTTAAGAAAAATTATAAAATAAGTGTAAAACTTCGAATATTGTTTGAAAGAAAGCATTTTAGGCATGCAAATATAGCATATATTTAGAGGTTTCTGAAAAAAATACAAAAAAATGTCATGTACACATGAGAAAAAAAGAGGTATTTGTGAGTTGAAGCCAACTGGGGTGAAAGAAATTTTTCATTCAGGCATTGAAGGTCTGGTTTTAGGCTTAAAACAAATTGTGAGGATTTTACTTATGTGAAAGTCCATGCTGATGAAAAAGTGAATGTTCCAAGTATTCTACAGGCAGCAACAAGGTGTTCTACCTGAAAATATATAAAAAGCACATTGAGTACCTGCTTTGAATATTTGATTTGGAGGAAAACATCATCTCTAGGTGGATTTACCTCTTTGATAAAAATAACGTGTCTTGAGAGTCTAGTAATTCAATCTATCTTTCTCTGGGAAGTAAAAGAATATCTTGACCCTAAATTTTGTGAGATTATGATGCTCATTATCAAAGGACTCCAGTGACCTTCCCTTGTGGATTTTAAACACAGCACTATTTTACAGTGGATTTAAACCTTCTGGAGTAAGCAGATTACATATGTAGTTATTTTAATAAAGTTATTTGAACTTTTCTTTAACTTTTAAAAAGGACAATTATTGTATTTCTGGAATCCTTTACAATTCAGTGACTATGAATAATTGGGTACCTGGAATTTCCAAGGGATACAGATATATTACTTTCTTTGATATTGAAATACATTTGTTTCTTTCTGCTCTAATGTCTTCCTCTACACAAAACTGAAATGTCCCAGAGAATTAGACAATATGTCTATAGTCTTAAGATCTGCTATTCTCTATAATAATTCTATTACACTTTAAACTTAGTAGAATTTATAACAGCTCACTCTAAAGGTCTAGCTGCATTTCTTTAAGCAAATCTATTAAATCTTTGGGTTTATAGTAAATAAATCAGAAGGCTGTTATCCTTTTAATGAAATGACTCTTTATATAATTTGTCTCAATTATCTTCTAAATAGCATACTTCTCCTGGACATTTTTAAATATTGCTCACTTTATAGAAATCCATTTTAAATCTAAATGAAAGAACACATAAAGAGTCTACTACTTTGAGTTGTTGACTATCTAGCCAATAAGACTTTATATTTTTTCTTGAAAGATGGACCCTGTAGTATCAACATCAGTTCCACTGTACTCATTGAAACTGGATAAAGAATATGAAGTTCGTGTAAGATGCAGACAAAAACACTCTGAAAAATATGGCGAGTTCAGTGAAGTGCTCTACATAACACTTCCTCAGTTGAGCTCATTTAAGTGTGAAGAAGGTAAAGAAAATTAAATGGCTTTTGACAATATATCAGTTGATACATGCCTTAATTGTTAGCTTATTGTGTAGATCAAAATGCATTAACATCAAACTTCAAGGTGAGAGACCTTGCACTTACCATCTACAACAGATATTGTGTATTACAAAATCAGAAGGAGCATTTGGTTTACAGATTATTTAATGTAGGAAAAGTCCTGGAGGACATGGAAATTTAGATAAAGAAATGCAGTGGTTATTTCTAGATAGTGGAATTGCAGGCAAGTTTATATATATATATATATATATTTATAAAATTTCCTACAATGAATTTGTTTTGAATGTATAGTCAGACAAAAATATTTTTCTAACCCCAAGGAATCAAGGTATGTATTTAAATGGATGAATGTTTATATTGCAGCTATGAGAAAGCATCATATTGTGTCAGCATAAGTAGTAAGGGTGCTTTCTGGTTTTAGAAAGTGCAGGTGTAGCTTTTACTTGAAGGAAGGACTAGTAATGAGTGTGATAGTCACACAAAGCAAATGTGAAACACTGGAAGACCCTATATAGGAGAATCACAAAGATGATTAAAGTTTTGAAAATGAGACCTATACATGCAGATTAAAAGACTTAAGCTCTTAGATACAGAAATAAAGAAGGCTGGTTAATAATGAATACAGTTTATATGTTATCACTTTCATTGAATACAAAGGTTTTCTAGGGATTTATGAGAAGTTGAGGTTTAGTAATGAGATAATCATAAGCTACAAAGAAATTAAATTTATATTTCTGCCTTTACTGTATAGATTGAAAGTCACTACGTAGCACTAAGATGGAAACTTCAATAGCACCATTGTTTCTAAACTCTAGTTAGCTTGCCTGTTTTTTAAAAGTATTTAATATAATGCAATTAATGTTTAAATACCACAAATATTTTGAGCTTAATGATAGCATTTAATTTAGTTACCATAATTTTTCTAATTGGCTGTTCTTTCCATACTAAAAAGAAAAAAAAAAAAGAAGACGAGAAGCTCTGGCTTCTTAGACTTCTGAATATGTCATCAGTATAAAGTTACAGATACCACAAGATCCAAAATGATATTCTCTCCCCTAATAATTCTCAAAAATATTCATATTACTTCCCTTGGAGATTTTAACAGCTTATTAAATAAGGAAAACACATTTCAGCATAAAGGCCTACTTTTTAAAAAGCAAAAGAGGCAAATTCCATGTATCTTTTTCATTTAAAAAGTGGGTAAGCCTCTGCCACTGTCTGTAAGAATACTGGGAAACAACTGCAAGCTTATTTAGTCTTGAGGCATAAAGACACTTAGTCTTGAGGAATTAAATAGAAACTGTAGATTTCCCCAAGTCTCATACACAGTATACTACGAGCTCAAGTCAGGAGTCTCAGGATAAATGGAGGGGGGAGGATTTAAAGCTGTAAAATGATGTTTTGTGTGTCTAAGAAATTTCTGTCATGATTCATAATAAAGATTCCATCCACATTTTTTGACAGATACCCAATCCAGAAGCTAAAAAATATCATCACAAGGAAGGAAGGAAGGAAGGAAGGCAGGCAATAGTTAGGTCTGATTAGATGCTTAGATTGTTTTTTGTTTTGTTTTTTGCTTTGTTTTAAACATGCATGTATGAACCGTATCTTTTTATTTTGCAAGATTTCATAAATGTGAAAGGATTTTAACAGTAAACAAAGGTGTTCTTAGATCAGAAAAAAAATTCTAAGTCATCCTATTGTTTTCAAGGTTATCAAATGAATTCAAATTAGCATATATTTTTATGTAGAAACAGAGAATGAAATGTGAACTTTGCCTAACTTTCATAATTCTGAGTGAAATATTCTTCTGTGTTTCAGAGTTCCAGTTTCCATGGTTCTTAGTTATGATCTTTGGAATATTTGGGCTTATGGTGATGCTACTTGTGGTCATATTTTCTAAACAGCAAAGGTAAGTTCGTCTTCTTTGATATGTTTTTACGAATTGTTTAGATTGCTGTGGGTTCTTTGATATTTTCTCTTATACATTTTGAGTCAAAACTTTAATTAACCCAGCAAAACTTCAACTCCAGTTATACCTTTACTATTTCACGTTATCTTAGAGTACTTACAGGTTTAGATACTATCTGGCTGTCATAAAGTACATAAAGAGGCTTAGGGCAGCACACACACATACCCAGCACCTGGATCTGTTCACTCTCACTCCAAAAGACATCACTGAGGCTTTGCCCAAGTCTGATTGCAGTCCTCATGTACAGACACATGTAAGTGGAAAACTAGAGCCACCTGCTCAACTCAGTCTAAAAAAACTATTAAAAGATTTTATATGATGGTGATTTCAGGTAAATTTAGATTTCATTTAAATTATTTAGATATTTATAATTTCTTATTTCATCTGCATTTGTAAATGCAGGTAAAATTGTTTCTAAGTTTGAAGAGATTCTAATTTCAATTCTCTTGGAATCAAGTCTTGGGTTCCAGTTATTCAGCCACTGTTGTTTGATCCTGCCTTCACCCCTTAATTTCCCTGGGTTTCCACATTTTTGTGAGTAATAAGACTAGGTCACATGATCTTTAAATTTTACTTGAGACATGAGATGGTATCATTTTTTTTTCTTCTTGAAGGAAATTTAGTGGACATTACAGAGAGGTTTTTATACAAAATATAGGGGGAAATAAATGATGTAGGTTGTGAGTTTCTTACATTGGGTATATTTTTTAAATCTCTCAATTATCTCTTCTCCTCCTAGAACTAGGGCCACTTACCACTCCCAGGTTGCCTGGGTCTATAGGTTTTACACTGCAAGTCCTGAGAAATCACACATTTCTAGGCAAGACAGATGATCATCCTACCTAGAGTTGAAAACAAGTTCTCTAGCTGAAGCTAAGAGCCATCTACAAATCAAAATGAGACCTATGTGAATATATTGTTACCAACATTTCATTGGCTTTGGGGTAGTTTAGCGTTTTTAAACTCCATAATAGAATTTCATTAGAAACAATTCCTGGGCTGGAAATTTAGCTCACTGGCACTGTGCCTGCCTGGTAAGTAAGTTTGAATCCCAGTAGCAAAAACAGAAAGAAAAAGAAGGCAGGAAGGGAGGGAGGGAGAGAAGGAGAGAGGGAGAGAAAGAAAGAAAGAAAGAAAGAAAGAAAGAAAGAAAGAAAGAAAGAAAGAAAGAAAGAAAGAAAGAAAGAAAGAGAGAGAGAGAGAGAGAAAAAGAAAGAAAGAAAGAAAGAAAGAAAAAGAAAGAAAGAGAGAGAGAGAAAGAAAGAAAGAAAATTCCTATAATGCTACTCTTCTAGAGTGTCAAGCATCCTAAAAGTCTCTGAAAGCAGAATGGGTTATTTTCAGTAGGGTTTCATGTTTAATTTTATAATATAAATAATATAAACGAGTAGAAAAGCAAAATTCATTCCACACAATTTGATTTTGCACCTAACTCTCAAGAAACATTTCTGTTTGTATTGATAGGCAAACCTATATACAACTGTAGTAGATAAACCCATTATATACATACACACACACACACACACACACACATATATATGTATGTATATAGTTATCTGCTCACACTTGAGGTCAATTTGGAGTTACTGTGAAGGCCAAGAAATTGTGTTATATTGTTTACCTACATTAGTTGACAAATCTGAAACAAAAATCCTCTTAACAAATAGGATTTTAAAGAGTATATTAACTTTGGTCTAAAATGGTGTTTTTCATGAATAATGAAATTCTAAACTTAAAATCCACAAATTATAAAATTAGTATAACTCTTTATTGTAATCCAATTTCCCATGTTAAATGAGCTGTTTGTAGAAAAGAATCATTTTATCATTTTGCCATAAAACCATTATCATTGTTTAGATTATGTTCTATCCTGAAAAAAAATAGGTATAGAGGACCAAATATGAATTGTATAAATGTTATTTATGACAAACCAAAGGCCAACATCATGTTAAATGTGGAAAATCTGAAAACATTCCCTCTAAAATCATGAATAAGAAATAGATGCCCACTATCCCCATTTCTATTCAACATAGTATTCAAACATTATCCAGAGCAATCATGCAAGAAAAAGAAGTAAAAGGATACAAGTAGAAAAGGAAGCAGTCAAATATGACATAATACTGTGCATAAAGAATCCAAATAATTCCACCAAAAAACTCTTAAATTTAATAAGCAAATTCAGCAATGTAGCAGGATACAAAATAAACACACAAAAATTGTGCTCCTATATGCTAATAATGAACTCACTGAGTTCTCACTGAGAAAGAAATTAGGAAAACCATACCATGCACAATAGCATCAGGAAAAATTAAATACCTAGGAATTAATCCAACCAAGGAAGTAATGAAAATTACTCTGCTCTGAATAAGAGATTTAAAAGGACATCAGAAAATAGAAAGATGTCCACACCTGCCTTGCAAGTGCAAGATTCTGAGTTCGATCCCCAATACAAAGAAGAAAAAGAAAATGGAAAGATGTCCTTTGATTCTGGATGGGCAGAACCAATATTGTCAGAATGGCCATACCCTCAAAACTTTTATACCGATTCAATCTAATCTCAATCAGAGTACAACAGTACTCTTCACAGAACTAGAAAATACCAATCCTAAATTTCATATGGAACCAGAAGAGACCCAGAAAGGCAAAAGCATTCTTGGGCAACGAGACCAAAACAGCAGGCATCTCAATATCTGAATTTAAACTACCATACAAAGCAACTGTGATAAAAAGGCATTTAAATATGTTAAGGGACCATTTTCATCTTCAGAATTAAGGATTATTTTAATCTTACTTCACTGCCTTTTCTCTTTTACTTTCCTTTTTAGTTTTATTTTAGGATTCCCTATTTTTAATGTTCATACAGAGATTTCTTTAACTGAAATACCGAATAGTTTCTCTGGTGTGAAAAACTATAATAGTACACAGGATCCTAATGAGATAATTAATAATGTTAAATAGGAAGTAAATGGCTAAAGGTGTAGGGAAAGTGGGAAGGGTGGGGGAAAGGTAATAAGGGAGAGGAAAAAAATATGAGAAACTGAAAAAATGGAAATAAAGTGTTTGTAGATGGGGAGGGGAGGAGGGGGTGAAGGGAGGGCAGGGACAAGGGGAAAAATGAGAATCAAGACCTATTATGTAAAGGTACAGGATCCCAATGATGAATGTAACTGTATTGTATGCCTAGATTGTACCAATAAACTCAATAAAAAGAAAAAAAAAGTCATGATGCTTGCAGAAAAACAGACAGGTGGATCAGTAAAACGGGATAGAGAATATAGAAACATCCCCTGACACATTCAGCTATTTGATCTTCAACAGAGGAGCCAAAAACATATGCTGGAGGAAAGATAGCCTATTTAACAAATAGCGCTGGGAAGATTGGCATTATTTTTTTCTTTTTCAGTACTGGGAATTGAACTCAGGTCCTTGTGCTTGTGAGGCGGGCAGTGGAACCACTGAGCTAAATCCCTGGCCCAGAAAATTAAATTTTGCAAAAGCTTGAAGCTGGACCCATGTCTCTCACCATGTCCTAAACTAAAATCAAAATGGATCAAAAATCTGAACATTAAAACAAAAACACTGAACCTATTGGAAGATATTATATGTAAAACACTTGAAGTCATAGGTATAAAAAAGAGCTTTCTGAACAAAATTCCGATTGTTCAAGATATAACAGCAAGAATCAATAAATGGAAATGGATATATATTGAGGATAATATAAGTGAAATACATAATTCACACATGTGTAAACACCGAATAGTTTCTCTGGTATGAACAAACTATAATAGTACATAAGATCCTAATGAGATAATTGACCATGTGAAATAGGAAGAAAAGGGCTAAAGGTATAGGGAAAGTGGGAAGGGTAGGGGAAAGGGAATAAGGAAAAGAAAAAATAGGAGAAATGAAAAAATGGAAATAAAGTGTTTGTAAATGGGGAGGGAAAAGGGGTAAAGGGAGGGCAGGGATAAGGGGAAAAAATGAGAACCAAGACCTGTCATGTAAAGGTAGAAGATCCCAATGATGAATGTAACTGTACTGTATACCTAAAATGTACCAATAAACTCAATGAGGGAAAAGAAGAATCAATAAGTGGTATTATATCAAATTTAAATCCTCCTGAAAGCAAAAGAAATCAATTGGTAGAGTGAAGAGACATCCTGTAGATTGGGGGAAAAACTTTCCCCAGCTGTTCCTTGGACAGAGGACTAATTTCTAAAATATACCAAGAACTCAAAAAAATTAGGTCGCCCCAAATAAAATACCCAATTAAGAAATGAGCAAGTGAAATGAATAGACACATCTCAGAAGTATAAGTGGCCAACAAAGATAGGAAAAAAATGTTCAACATCTTTGGCCATTAGAGAAATACAAATTAAAACAATGCTAAGACTTCATCTCACACCAGTAAGAATGGTAATCAAGTCAAGCAATAAATATCAGCATGACTGTAGTGAAAAGGAACCCTCCTAACTGGTAAGAATGTAAATTAGTACAACCATTTAGGGAATTAGCATGGAGATTTCTCAAAGAAGTAAAATTAGAAATTCCATAATAGCTAAATCCTAAAAGCAGCCTCTAGGCCATCAACAGATGAACACATAAAAATTGTAATATCTGCACATAACTGAATACTAGTTAGCTATAAGGAAGGATAGATTTGAGAGATTTGCAGGAAATATATGCACTGGAAAATATAATTTTGAGTGAAATAAGATGCAAACTTAAACAATGTATCCCATCTCTTAGTTGAGCAAGTCAAACTATGAACAAAGATCAAAATAAAGAATGGATAACAGGAAAAAATTTAATAAATCTTTTGCGAATGGGAAGGAGTCCAGGAGACTGAGGGTGAAAAGAGAGGGGGAGAAGAAGGTGACATCGGATTTAGGACCTGCTATGTACATATACCAAATACCCAAAGTGAATGTAAATATTACATGTCCTAAACATTAGCTAAGAATAATACTGACAAGAATGTACATGGGCAAAGGGGATTTAGAGGCAGAGAGAGGGAGGTGAGTGGGGGGATTGAAAAAAGCACAAGCTGTGTTATGCACATGTATGTACCCCATCACAAGGGGAACGTAAATTTCATGTCCTGCAAATGCACTAATAAAACAAAAATTAAAAAATTAATTTACATGCTCTAATGAAAATAAGAAATGGTAGAAAATAGTTGTCAGTAGATATAGAAATGACATGCAGCTCTCACAATTAAAATCATATTTCAAAGAATGCAGTGCTTATGTTTGTCTTCCCCAGAAAGCCAAGGTACTCAAGGTTATAGGTCCTATATGTCTTTGAACTTTTGTGAGTCATAATTCATTATCTAAGCTGCCTTACCTTGCCTTAATCCATATCATAGTCATTCATATGATTTATAATGTTTGTATTTGAATAAAAAGATAGCAACATCAGAGACTCAAGCATGTTTTTACTTTGTAATAGTTGCCAGCATATGACCCACTGAGGCTTCGATCTATTATCAAGGAAAGAAATAATCGAGTTAGCATAAAACAGAAGTGGTAAACTGAAAGCCAAATTCAGACCACGGATCCGTGTTTTGTCATTTTGTTTTATTTTAGAGTAACAATTTTGTTACAAAGGGGATACAAAATAGAGAATCTTCACACAAAAATCCAGATTTCTGGACCATCCTAAAAAAACAAAAGATGGAGTAATACAAGGTTTTTGCATGGCATGTGTGCAGCAATGGAGAGACAGCTGTCCCGTTTGGGAAGGCATACATACTCCAGTTTGACACCACTTTCCTTCCTCCACAGAGCACTTCAGGGGCCCTCTTATATTCATTTGCATAACCAACGTGAGCCCTTGTGGTTCCAGGGTCTGACCCTTGTGATTTATGGTCATATCTATTAACACATTCCGAATGCATCCCCTTCCAGAGAAAGACTCAGGACAGAGAATCACAATATCAAACATTAGCCATTTAGGAATCTTTGCTTCCTATAATTAGTGTTGTATTGCATTTTCTCACATTTTTGAAAATTTGAAATATGCAGAACCAAATGACACAGCAACATGATAGAGGACAAAGGGCCTGGGTTTGAAGTCAGGTACTGTGGGATTGAGTCCCAGTGATTTGAACATGTTCCTTAATTTTCTAAGTTTTTGCATAGACAATCTGCTTCTTTGGTTGTTGTAAGGATTAAAGAAAATATTTCATGCAGCAGTCAACAAACTTGTTTATAAACAGTAAGATAGTAAATTTTTAGATGTTGGCGGGGATACATCTCTGCCACAATCAGTTCCACAACTCTGACATGAAATCAGCCAAAGATCATTTGTAAATAAATGAACATGGTTGTGTTCCAAAAACATCTTTCTATACAAAACAAAAGTGGCCATTCAGAGTTGGGCCACAGGCTATAATTTTTCAACCCATATTCTTGTGCAAAGTATATCTCAAAGTGTATCTACTATGCCAGAGGTAATCAAAATGGCAAGTAATTTATATTATTCATCTCTGTATAACTCATCAGTAACAATTTGTTTTAACACTTCCCCCACTAAGTAAGCATACTGGTGGTGGCTATTCAAAACAAATTGTAAAATTAAATTTGGGCTTATTTCTTAGATTAAGTAAAGTGGCAGGTAGAAATATTGATCAAAAAGCTAACTCACTGAATAGACTAGACAATCCATTCACACTGTGTATAGAAAGACGAGGTTACTATCGTTGCCCAACAATATTTCTGAATACTTGGGGGATTTTTTTAACCATAAAATGGTTTGGAATGATAAATCTCCAGTGCTATAATACTGGTTTTCAGTTATAAACTCCAGCTACACTGTTCACTAAATAGGCAAATGATTTATTCAAATTTCTTTAGGGAATGCTTACTGAACACCTTCTTTGTGCCAGGAATTATGATAAGTGCTCGGGATTCAACAAGGCACAAGACAGGAAGGATAGATGAATAAATTATAATCAAAAAATAATTTTAATTTTCATAATAGAAAAAGTGCATCACAGAATTGTATAAATCCATCCTAATCAGTCAGAGATAGTTTCTCAGATTTTGTCTTACCTGAAAAGGAGCCCTGCAGTAATATTCTGGTTAGAGATCATTCTGGATGATTTTATAATTACTGTGAACTGTGTTGTGTTAACCTATCCCAGTTCACCCTCTTTCAAGGTCTTAAATAACTTTGGCTCTATTTAGACTTAGCTTGCTTGCTTTCTCTCTCTTTCTCTTCCTCTCTCTCTCTCTCTCTCTCTCTCCTTTCTCTTTCCCTCCTTCCTTTCTTTTTCTTTCTTTTCATTTCTTTCCCTTTCTTTCTTTTCTTACTCTTTCTTCCTTCATTTCTTCTCTGAAAATTACTAGTGAGATATAGACTAAAATTGCCTTCTTATAACTGACATGGAAGTTAGGTTCAGATGGAATTATATTACACACTCCTCAAATACTGAAGTTGCTTGACAATAAAAAGCATTAAGAAAAAATATTATAAGAAAACCACACTATTTAAATGGACTTTCAAAAGAGGGCTTTTTGTTGCTATCGTTTTTCTTTCTTCTACAGGTTTTATTACTGCTTAATATTTTCCTTCCCTGTCTCATATTCCACTTATATAAAATGCAAGGATAACTGGGATAATTTATAGTGCTGCTAATATTTTATTTCTATCTTTTGAAAGATGAGAACATGTAAGTTTTAAGATATGTCAAACCAAAATTCTATTTGTTTTCAAGGATTAAAATGCTGATTTTGCCCCCAGTTCCAGTTCCAAAGATTAAAGGAGTTGATCCAGATCTCCTCAAGGTAATTAACAAACCTATATAAATTGTATATAGCACTAATTAAGTCATATCTAAAGAATGATGTCATATGTGGAGAGTGTTTTGCAAACTATGTGCATCAGATTTAAAATTACTTAATCATTATGAGGATCTTTTCATAGATCTTCATTTTTTTCTGCTTCCTAGGAAGGAAAATTAGAGGAGGTGAACACAATCTTAGCCATTCATGATAACTCTAAACCTCAGTTCTACAACGATGACTCTTGGGTTGAATTTATTGAGCTAGATTTTGATGACCCTGATGAAAAAACTGAAGGATCAGATACAGACAGACTTCTCAGCAGTGACCATCAGAAATCACTTAATATCCTTGGGGCAAAGGATGATGACTCTGGACGCACTAGCTGTTATGAACCTGATATTCTGGAGACTGACTGCAATGCCAGTGATGTGTGTGTTGGCACCTCTGAGGTTGTTCGGCGAGATGAGTTAAAAGGGGAAGCTGATCTCTTGTGCCTTGATGAGAAGAATCAAAATAATTCACCTTATGATGCTTCTCCTGACCATCAGGAGGCCAGTGTCATTCCAACAAAGGAAGACAAACCACAACTGCTTCTTATTGGCAAAACTGAGTCAACTAACCAAGATGCCCCTACTCAGATAAGCAATCCTAGTTCACTGGCAAACATGGACTTTTATGCCCAGGTAAGCGACATTACACCAGCAGGAAGTGTAGTCCTTTCCCCGGGCCAAAAGAATAAGACAGGAATGTCCCAGTGTGATACACACCCTGAGACCAACTTCATCAAAGATAATGCCTACTTCTTCAAGGGAGATGCCAAAAAGTGTGCTGTCATGACCCCTCACATCGAGGTCAAGTCACATGTAGAATCAAGCTTTAACCAGGAGGATACTTACATCACCACAGAAAGCCTTACCACTGCTGCTGAGAAGTCCGGGGCTGTGGAACAGCCTCTAAGCTCTGAAATGGTTCTCCCAGATTATACCTCCATTCATATAGTGCAGTCTCCACAGGGCCTCATACTCAATGCGGCTGCCTTGCCCCTGCCTTTGCCTGACAAAGAATTTCTATCATCGTGTGGATACGTGAGCACAGACCAACTGAACAAAATCATGCCGTAGCCCTTCATCAGTTTCTCAGAAGTGATATATTTCATCACAAAGAATTGGCTAGGGCATGAATGCTTAAACCAAAACATGTTTTCTTGGGGGAGTGTGAGGGTGGGTATAGATTCTAAATGCCTTTTCCTGAAATGTTGAAACATGATATTAAAATGAAAAAATGAGAATGTTTAATCAAATAGATATTCCTTGTGAATTGTAAATATTTTAAATTGCCTCAAAGACTGTTTAGTGGCAGTAATTGTCTTATTATTGTGAGTGCTGATTTTGTGATACTGAGCATTGAATGGCTACACCTTTAATGTACAGTAAATCAAGCTTTTTGAAAAAGCAAAATAAAGTCAGGTGGCTTTTGCAGTTCAGGAAATTGAATTCAAGTCATAGCACAGGCTAATTTTTTTTTCTTTTAATTAACTGGGAGGTAAAACTTTAGGTAAGAAGGCAAAATAGTTTCGATATTTAAAACATTTATTTTCACATACAATTGATAAAGATATTTTTAATAATTTAGACTTCAAGCATGGCTATTTTATAATATACTACACACACACTGTGTACTGTAGATCACGATGACCTATTCCCCCAAAAAATGTAGCAACTACAGTGTAACATTGGTTTAATGCTTTGTTCAGTGCACCTAAAGAAAACAAAACAAGTTAGTTTTTACAAAGTCCTTTTTATATTTCCCAAAACTTCTTAAATAATTCTAAAAATTTAGCAACTCGCATTATTGAAACACATTCACTATATCTAAATTTTTTTAACAAATATTTTTAAATTTAGAAATGTTATTAAAATGTTTACACTGCATAAACCAAAAATACAGGGGGAAAACTCCCTTTCCATGGCGAATTTCAGATCACCCTGCAGAGCTCTCTAAGAGAAGCAGAGGGTAGGCTGGTTCAGACGGACCAGGAACCCCCAGACCTGTGGCAGCACAAGGAGGAGCTGGAAAGCACGCAGATCGAGGGAAAGAAGCTCCAGCGCCTCCGCAGTGGTGTCTTATCAAACACAGCTCCGTTTTATTTCATAGGTACCTAAGAAGATAAGAAGGGACAAGCTATTTTGTACATCAAAGCAGAATGAATGAAGTTAACTGGGTATGGAACAAAAAGCTCAAGAAACAGGTCTCTGTTTCACAGCCTATAGCCAGACACATACTTATTACTCATGGTAACAGGGGACAAAAAAACATACACACGTACACACCATTTTCTATCCCAAAAGATAATTCAAAAATAATTAGATCAATAACAGAAAATTCTTCATTAAATGTTTGTAGGGCTTATTTTAAAAAAGAAAAATGAGAACTTTCATCATTTTTTATTTCCTCTCGAAAGGACTAGACTCCAACCAAGTAGTCAGAAATAAAAGTAAATTAAAAATACAACAAAGGCCTAAGTAGTATATGAATTATTTTTTCAATTCCTTCATAGCTTCAACATAATTTGTTAGTATAGCTCCCTAAAAGGTTCATGAGAGAGTAATTTCATCTCATTTTGTTTAAAAAAAACTCAAAATTTTAAAGTTAGCTTTAAGATAAATAGTATTTGACATTTAGCTCAGACCTTTCGAAAAAGCAATCTTAGTGGTTGGTAATTTTAATTCTCACCTTTTTTTTTGCAGGAAAAACAGTGAAATTCTAGAATTGGGTGTTTAAAGTTCAACATGTTACTTTGTTATCATTTAATAGATTTTTCTGCTACCTTGCTGCTATGGTTTTCTCCAGGAGCTATATCATTTAATTTTATATAAAATATCATTAGCATAGAGCCTAATTCAATTTAAAGCTGTGTGTTTGAAAGAACTATCTTATTTCACAATAGGCTGATCACATTTCTATAGACAAAAAATAGTTAAATACCTCAATCAGTTTCAGAATGTCATTTTGGTACTTAGCTGGCCACACAAGCCATTATTCACCAGTATGACTAGTTGTGTCCTGCAATCTATATTTAACTTTCCTTATGTCTGTGGATGTATTCCTTTAAAGTTTAATAAATTTATTTTCTTGGATTCCTGACTATGTGCCTCTATTGTCAAACTGCAACATGAAAAGCCTCCTACCCTAGACTGGATACTGTGAGTCCTTCAATACGTCAACAATGGCTGATTTTTGTTATGTGCTGACTAAATAGAAACAAAGGAAGCAGATTCCTACTTCTATTATTTAAGGAGACAGGAGCCAGCTCAGAAATACCCTGCTGGCTTTTCTGGATTGTGCCCTCCTCTCAGGCTGGGATTCCTCATGGACCAAAGGCTCATAGGCCCTCACGTTAGATGTGTCATAGAAGCTGCTTGATGCATCCCACTTGATGTGGACTTCGGTGGGGTGGGGAAGAGTGGCACTGGACAGTGTCTTTAAGCCACATTTCTAGCTTGAACATGTTGCCTGGGTGGAGGAAAGCACCTTTGCAACTACTGTCACCATTAAACATCAGTTTGTCACACTGGCTAGTTGTCATCATGAGAAAAAGATTATAAGTCTCCTTGTGATGGACTTCCATGTCTGGGAGAGAGGCTTGTTAGGTAAATTGTGTAGGAGTTGGAGGGAACAGAAAAGCCATAAAGCAAAGGTTCCTGCTACAGGGGACTTCAGGTCGGATAGCAACTGAGTCACAGGCTCTCATGCAGGCACTGAGTCCTGAGATGTAGGAGACTAGTGATCATTGATAAGCCCACTGAACAAGTGGTTACTGCTTCAGCAATTTACCTGTAAGCTGAGTTTTCATAATACATAAAGGTTATATTCAATACAGAAAAAAATCCTTCACTTGTATCCTTCTGCCTTTTGAGAAGCCACTGTTTCAAAGATCTTCAGGGTAAAGCCTTTGAGCTTTCTTATTTGGATATATGATTTGCAAAATTGTGGCCATTATTTCACTAGGATATTGGACTATGCATTAATGGAACAAAACAAAAGGTCATCATTGTAAGCACCAGATATTTATTTCTTATGTGTGCTATACAAGATTTAGCCTTCTGTGAGTTAAAAGAACACAATTCTATTCTATATGGTTTCTATTCAGAAGATGGCTATATATGTGTATCTGTATTGAAACTTCTCAATGGTTCTACTAAGATATACTAACACTGAAATCTATTCAAGTGTTGTAATATTTTTACACCAAAATATATCTTTTCATGTGCTTTGTTTAAGGTAATAATACCTGAAAAAATGTTCAACATCACTGGCCATTAGAGAAATGCAAATTAAAACAACACTGAGATTCCATCTTACTCCTGAAAGAATGGCCATCATCAAGAAATCAAATAATAACAAATGCTGGTGAGGCTGCGGGGGAAAAGGAATCCTTCTACACTGTTGGTGGGAGTGTAAACTAGTACAACAACTGTGGAAAACAGCATGGAGATTCTTCACAAAAACTCAAAATAGAAATTCCATTTATTCAGCTATCATCCTCCTAGGAATCTTCTCAAAAGAGTTAGAAACATCATATTATAGTATACATGTTTATCCATGTTTATAGCAGCATGATTCATAATAGCTTTATCTGGGAAGCAACTACATGTCCCTCAGTGGATGGATAAACATATGTAATATTTACACACAACAGAGTACTACTCTGCTACAAAGAAGGGTAAATTTAAGTTAAGGAAAATGGATACACCTGGACACCATAATGTTAACTGAAATGAATCAGACACATAAGTTTAAAAATGGCATGACTTCTTTTATATGAGAAACCTAAAATATAAATAAATTAAAGATCATAATAAAAGATAGATGACTGGAAATAGAGAAATAGATCTTTTGCAAATGAGAAGTGAAACTAAAAGATGGAGGGAGGGAAAGGGAAGAGGGGGAAAAGGGATGTAAAAAGAATCAAGATGTGTAATGTACATGTACCAACTTCCCACAATAAACGTTATCATTATATACTGCAAAACCATACTAATAAAAAAGAATATGTTCCATTAGAAATTCATTCTGAATCCAGAATAAATAATGAACAGAAAAATTGGAAATTACATAAATCCAAACTCTTTAGTTCAGAATTCAAGATCCCACATAATTAGCCTCCTTGGCCTTTGCTAGTTTAATATATAAAAACTGAATGTAAAGGGCACAGCTCCTGAATAAGAATCTCACTTCTGGTTGACATTCCAGTCCTCTTACCTTGGAATTCTAATAAACATATTACAACAACTACATTACATATAGAGCACTGCTCAGGTTTAAAATGATATTTGACTGTTAAATTATATCTGGAAGGAGAGAAATTATAAATATATAGAGATAAACCATACTTTGGATTTGAATACATTGACTCTTATAAGAAAGTGCTCTATCGGGACACTAGTTTGCCCATGCAGTTGTAAAAAGAGATATTGGTGCCACTGTGATATAGAGTTTCTGAGCCTGAGAAACTATGTTGCCTACTCAGCATGAGTTTCTTTCCATACACCTGAGATGTCATTTGCAGGGAAGAAAATGGCTGCTGGACAGCTGTATAAACATCTGTGTCAACTGACACAGTCTGTTGCCACCACTACTGCTCTAAAGCAGAAAGCCTGATGCTACCTGCATCTGGGGGATGAGCACCGCTGCTCTGTTGTCCCAGCAGTCCCCTGGGATCATAACTCGGCCCCAGTAACAAATTAGAGGGACAAAGTTTAACAAAAGACACTTTATTTGTAAAGAGAAAAATGAGGAAGAAAGGAGAAGACAGGTAACTACCGTGATAAACAAGAATAATGATAGGGGACTCTGGAAAGATGGTGGACTTAAGGGCCCTTTGTTCTTGGTTGGTTTTTTGTTGTTGTGGTGGTGGTTGTTGCTTGGGGTTTTGTTTTATTTTGTTCTGTTTTTTGAGACAGGGTCTCACTATGTAGTTGAGACTGACCTGGAACTCGCTATGTAGCCCAAACTGGTCTCGAACTCACAGCAATCCTCCTGCCTCAGCCTCCCGAGTGCGGGGATTACAGGCATGCGCCACCATGCCCAGCTATGGGCCCTTTGTTCTTAACTGGTTTTATAAGGAGGGTGAGTAACTCTTTCCCTGGCACCCAAAATTAGACATAACTGGATTGGTTTCTGGGTACCTCTGCCTAATGCCATTTCTTCCAGTGCTTCTTTTTGCCTGTTTGTTTACTTGTCCTTGATGAACTTTTTACGGCCTTACCTCTGGGGTGGACGGCTAGTTGGCAAGGGGGTGCCTTCTTAATTAGCTTAGAGTTAGTAAGGAGGCACTTGAATATCTACCGTATTCTGTAATGACTGTGGAGTGGATATTATGGTGACTCTGGAGTGAGTATATACGTATATACGCTTTTAAGTCAGTGCACAGGTGTGAGTACACACTGCCTTAAAGTTAGTCAGCCTCCCCCTTTGGCTTCCCCTGTATTTTATTGGATGTGGGGTGTCTCATTTGTGCACCTGGCTTTCTCTCTGTGTCCTGTATGTCAGCTCTTGCTCGGGTCTCTTGGTGTAAGTCCCAAAGCCATTTGGTGCCTTCCTTTATCTGGATAGTTTGTTTTTGTTTTTGTTTTCTTTTTTTTTCACTCCTGCCTTTGACCTGCTTCCCAAGGGAATCTCTCCAGCAAAGTTTGTGAGCATACACTTTCAATAGCAAGTGTCTTTTGATGATCCACAAGAGGGTCTTCTTGGGCTCAACCAGATGCTCACCAGCTGCCCACAGACCACATTGGTCCTAGTCTACTTAGAAGGATGCAGGACAGAAAGGATGCAGAGCAGTGCAGGGCCAAGGGCCTGTAAACAAGAAAATAAAATAGAGGCTTCTTTGTGTTTGCTAGCTAATCCTGACACCTGCTTTTGAAAAGTGTATGCTTTTCCCACTTCTGTGTTCTTAACCAGACCTCTTCTTTCACCTAAAAAACTCCTACTTACAAAACCTTCCTGTCAAAATTCTTCTCATCCTTCATAGCCCACTCAAATTCTTTCTTCCTGAAACCTCCCCAGTTCCTTCCAGTCTTAGGTGATTGTTCCTTTCTCTAAATCAGTCATAATGCTGTTTATCACGCTCTATTACCTTATGTTTTTCTTACTTTCTCATTGCTGAGACACGGTACCTGACACCCACAATTCTGAGGGTAGGCTTATTTTTTGCTTATAGTCTATAGAGGTTTCAGTTCATAGTCAGCTGGCTCCGAAGCAGGGCAGCACGTCTGAGGAGCGTGGCAGAGAAGAAACAGGCCATGGCATGGTCATGAGAAGCAGAGAGAGCTTGAGGTAGGACGGAGAGA